ATTACCAAAAAACAACAACAAAAAAAAGGTCCCCACCCACCACTGTTAAAAGGATGATTTAAACAACTTTACTACTCAAATAACTATTTTTGTATAGGTGTGAACCAATACAAGCTCTGGAAGGAAGAGGAGCAGTTTCAGGGTACAAAACAATCTTATGAGCACCACATCTCAAGTTTTAAGAATCTGAATAATGTCTGGAGAATTTAAAGAATGTCAAGCAGCTAGATCACATGAAGTTTCATTTTGTGGCAATTGTTGATCTTGTGATATTTTGTATAGTTTGACATGTATGCATTTTGAATCCATTAATGGAAATGGAATGGAACTTATTTACAGAAGTGAATCAAATTCACAAACTTTTTACTACTAAAGTTTAAATGAGAGATTACAACATCTCTGTTAATGCTCTCATACTCACAATCACAAAACTGATTTAATGAAAGTACATTAAAAAGAGCTTTAAAATCATTGCGTTGTTCATAATGTTGCTAAATTTTATATTGCCAGATAAACCATCATAAATATATGTTAAATATTCAATTTATTGCCCAGTCCTAAGACAAACCTGTTTACACACACTTTGTGCTGAGCCACACAGTACTGTCAGATGGAAAAACAAATGGGACTCCCACTCCCACTTTGCCCATTCTGGCTGCAATGGTCAGCTAGAGCAGATCTGATTAGTTATTCAGAGTGACAGCGCTGTGGCCCCTGGATGCCCCCCGTCGTCCTCACTGCCACCACCAGGCGAGAGAATGACCCCGTCTTACACAACTGCCTACTCTGGCGGTTTGCCTGTCAAATGTGATGACTCATGGATTCTTTAACATAAATAAAAAGGAAATACAATCATCACAGTCTTACCCAGGTTCTCCATGGTGCAAAAGTATTTTGCTACCCTAAGAGAGCAAATGAGATATTAAAGAGTTTCTATTTGTGATCTTTCTTTTTGGGAGTCATTAGGGTGAGTAAATGATGACAGAATTTTATGTTTTTAATGAAAAAAAATGTAGGTTTTCCACAATAGAAAGAAATGCAAGGTTTGTAAATAAATGAGACATCTGCTCAAACATTGGTGGTGGAGGATGGTCTATGCACTGTCTATAATGTAAACACATGTTGGCAGTTGGTTTTGGAAAGTTACTGCACAGCAAACCCCCCCCCCCCCCCCCCCCCCCCCCCCCCAGTGTTAAATTAACTGCCAGAGTTTATATAATTCACACAGATTAAATAAAAACTGGCAATGATAATTTAACACCAGGAGTTTTGCTGTGTGGGAACTCATATATATTGTACAAATGCATATTTTCCAATTTAGTTTAAGCCTATAAATCTGTAACATATTTGTTACACACATTTCTAAGGCCTCTAAATTATCAACATGAACTTTGCTGAAAATCCTGTTTTACAATTTACTACATGCCTTCTGTCATCTGATCGACTGTTGACACTTTTTTGGCCCAAAAAAAAAAGCCTTTTGGTTTAATTAATTTTCCCCATTCAAATCATGGTACCTTTATCTTTACTGATTTTTATTAAGTAAATGTCAGAATAACTTTTTTGTATTGTTAATAAAAAACTACAGAGATTTGATCATAAAACTAAGCATTTAAATAACATATTATTGGGAGATATATTCATTTTATATAACCAGTCTGCTAGACTGTAAACAGACCTGATTGATTTACATTGCTATCAGAATTTCATCTTGCTCTTGTCTTTTTTTATCTCTGTATTCTCCTATATCATATTTTTTCAAATGCATCATAAAAGTCTGATGTATCAAATATGACAACCAACAACACATATCCAAAGTAGAAAAAAAAATGGTGTGTCAGAATAAGCTGTTTGATTTTATTTTATAATGGCACACCCACATGCTGCTGCCATGTTGAGATCACATGACTAGCCTAACACACACACACACACACACGCACGCACACACACACACACATGCATGCACACACACACACACACACACACACAGTATATACACTCACCGGCCACTTTATTAGGTACACCTGTCCAACTGCTCGTTAACACTTAATTTCTAAGCAGCCAATCACATGGCGGCAACTCAGTGCATTTAGGCATGTAGACATGGTCAAGACAATCTCCTGCAGTTCAAACCGAGCATCAGTATGGGGAAGAAAGTTGATTTGAGTGACTTTGAACGTGGCATGATTGTTGGTGCCAGAAGGGCTGGTCTGAGTATTTCAGAAACTGCTAATCTACTGGGATTTTCACGCACAACCATCTCTAGGGTTTACAGAGAATGGTCCGAAAAAGAAAAAACATCCAGTGAGCGGCAGTTCTGTGGGCGGTAATGCCTTGTTGATGCCAGAGGTCAGAGGAGAATGGCCAGACTGGTTCGAGCTGATAGAAGGGCAACAGTGACTGAAATAACCACTCGTTACAACCGAGGTATGCAGCAAAGCATTTGTGAAGCCACAACACGCACAACCTTGAGGCGGATGGGCTACAACAGCAGAAGACTCCACCGGGTACCACTCATCTCCACTACAAATAGGAAAAAGAGGCTACAATTTGCAAGAGCTCACCAAAATTGAACAGTTGAAGACTGGAAAAATGTTGCCTGGTCTGATGAGTCTCGATTTCTGTTGAGACATTCAGATGTTAGAGTCAGAATTTGGCGTAAACAGAATGAGATCATGGAACCATCATGCCTTGTTACCACTGTGCAGGCTGGTGGTGGTGGTGTAATGGTGTGGGGGATGTTTTCTTGGCACACTTTAGGCCCCTTAGTGCCAATTGGGCATCTTTAAATGCCACGGCCTACCTGAGCATTGTTTCTGACCATGTCCATCCCTTTATGGCCACCATGTACCCATCCTCTGATGGCTACTTCCACCATGTCACAAAGCTCTAATCATTTCAAATTGGTTTCTTGAACATGACAATGAGTTCACTGTACTAAAATGGCCTCCACAGTCACCAGATCTCAACCCAATAGAGCATCTTTGGGATGTGGTGGAACGGGAGATTCGCATCATGGATGTGCAGCCGACAAATCTGCGGCAACTGTGTGATGCCATCATGTCAATATGGACCAAACTCCCTGAGGAATGCTTCCAGCACCTTGTTGAATCTATGCCACGAAGAATTGAGGCAGTTCTGAAGGCAAAAGGGGGTCCAACCCGTTACTAGCATGGGGTACCTAATAAAGTGGCCGGTGAGTGTATATATATATATATATATATACAGCCGTCGGCATTTGAAGTGGATCAAAACCTTTCATCCAAGTTATACATGAATTTTGAACAATACCCGACAACTTTGATGAACTTTTTTGATCCACTTCAAATGTTGACTACTGTATATATATACAGAGCCTGGGACAATAATCAGAGTTATCCCCTCCGTTGACGGCCTTGTTCTACAGCACGTCTTGAAGCAGCTGAATGCGATCAGCTCTCCTAGCACAAACCAGATAATCTTTACATTATTCCTATTTTAGACCAGGTTTAAAAGGCAGATCCAATTATTTCAGGCTCAGCCTGTGCCTTCTAATTATGGCTGAGTTGCGGGACACTGTCTCTGTGAGGCTGGATGTATTAATGACTTGTGAAAGGAAAAAGAATGCCATTCTCTAACACTTTAGAGCTGTGGTGCAAGCTTTAGGGCTGTTATTTCAGTTGAGCTGATACTTGCCCCGTGTCACTTTTCAAGGACAGTGAAACACAAATGTTAGGCTGAACATGTCATACTGACAACCCATAATTGTTGCTTGTGTGTAATATAAAAACTTATGCAATAAAAAAAAAAGCATAATGAATGCACTCTAAATACTACCTCTATTAAATGTTTATAAAACTGCATCTGATGAAAGCTGATATTACGTTTTCCAGCATTGCTTTACCCAGAACTGGATGTTTATGTTTTGAATTGCTTAGTTTCTGGGTTCAGGGTGGCAGATGACTCATATTGTCTATTTCGAGATGGTTGTACATGCTAACACACATTGAGAGGACTCCGTATATAGACCGGTGACTAATATCTCTGCTTCCAGGTCAAAGGTCAGTTTTCTTGGCCAGCAATATTACTGTCAAAAAACACATTAATACACGTTTTTAATGTATGGTAAAACATGTTTTATATGATTATCAAAATAAGACATTTATTACTGCTTGTTCAAAAAAAAGTATTATGGCAGTACCATGGTTTAGTATATGTGTTTACATCGCACTCCAAGTTATATAAATAGAGCATGGCGTTTCAAATAAAACTTGTTTTGAAGTAAACAGATATTATTTAGTGTCTTTATTGACCATTTTTTCCTTTGAAGGTTTTAAAAGTACTCTGGGGACAATTTGTTAGCCATGTTGTCTCTATAAAACAGACGCACAAATAACCATGTTTACATGATGTCCTATATTTAATAGGAATAATCTACTTTGGAGCCTAATTCACCCCACGTATTCATTCCAGCTTGTCAAATAAGGCTTAAGTAAAGAATGTTTATCAGTCATCTGACTCATCAGTCATTCTGAACAAACTGATACAAAATGTTCATATTATATCTGTAACACTCTCATACATTCCACAAATGTTTATTTTGTCTTAGCACATCATGTTCTTTCTAGCCTTTTTACTTTCATTTAGGCTACTACAAAATTGGCTTAAGTAAACAAGGCACACAAAAACTGTGATCCACTGGTCCGAATTTTATTAGAAGCACATACCTCTAATTGTTGCTCTGAACAAACGATCAAAAACAAATTAGATCTCAATGTATTGAGGCACAAACAAAAAAATAGAGTGAGTATAGAGATGTGAAGTAACTTATGCCCCCTGCTGGCGGATTGTTGTTGTTGTTGTTTTTTGGAAGAAGGTTCTAGAGTGCAGCTTGTCCCTTCAAAGAATTGTAGAACTAACTGTTGCTTAAAATTTAGAAAATGTGGTGTTAAGCAAATATCCTGTTAATGGGTGTTGATGTAACATGTGACTGAAGTTACTGTCCCTGTTTTTGCTGATAGCGGAGACAGAACATGCACAGAGAGTCCCGGACACAGAGTCGGCCCAGCAAATGAGGCTGAGAGAGAGACAACGATTCTTTGAGGAGGTGTTTCAACACGATGTGGATGTCTACCTCTCCTCTGCACACCTGCAGATAGATTATAAGAGACGTGAGTTTGAAAACACACATATATGGACGACTGTTTTCATTTGAAAAAAAAATAATATAATATAATTTTGGGCCTTAAAAAAAATCATTTAAAACTGATAAATTTAGGCTATACAAACTCTTCAGGTAAATTTAGGAAAATTACACTTAACACTTTTTTTGTCAAACTTATTTAAGGAAAACCAATATCTCTGCCAGTGACAGCTTGAAGATCAACAAATGTCGAACCCCATACTCACTACGCCATAATGACAAATGCCCGTTCTGTGTGTAGTCCTTGCGCACACTAAGAAGTAAGCCACCTAGCCCCAGGCGTGGAGAGGTCTAGGTCGTAAAATCTGACAAATGTATGTGGTGAGGACCAGTCTGCCGCATTACAAATATCCCGAAGGGAAACACCCGAAATTAAAGCCGTAGAGGCAGCCATACTACTCATAGAATGGGCCCGAACAGCCATAGGTGAAGGCTGTCCGGCCGCTTCATAAGCTAGAGTGATAGCCTCAACTACCCACTTGCTCATAATCTGTTTCGATGCAGGGCAACCTTTCTTAGTTGAACCGAAGCAGACAAATAACTGCTCTGATCTACTCCACAGGGCAGCTCTGTGAACGTAGGCATCCAAAGCCCTAACGGGACATAACAGATTGAGTCTTTCCTGATCTGGGGTATTTAAAGGCGGAGGGGAAAAAGCCTGCAGCACAATTGGGCCCGCAACATTAGTAGGGACCTTAGGAATGTACCCCGGCCTAGGGTTTAGAAATGCTTTCACCATACCAGGTGCAAATTCCAGACATGAAGGAGCCACCGACAGGGCTAGCAAATCTCCAATTCTCTTGATAGAAGAAATAGCCAGTAGAAATACAGTTTTTAGTGTAAGGAACTTCTCTGAAACCTCTTCAATAGGCTCGAAGGGAGCCAAGGCCAGACCATCAAGTACAATGGCCAGATCCCAAGGCGGTGCTCTAGAGTGCAGTGCAGGCCTCAGCCTTAATGTGCCACGGAGAAAACGAATAATAAGAGGATCTCTCCCAAGAGAAGAAGCCCCCAGAGGGCTGCGATAAGCAGATATAGCCACTACATACACCTTTAAGGTGGAAGGAGATAGTCCAGCAGAGAAACGGTCTTGTAAGAATTCGAGAACTGTACCAACTGGGCAGTTAACAGGATTTAAAAAACATTCTCCACACCAGGTAGAGAACAATTTCCATTTAAATGCATATAGTTTTCTCGTGGAGGGAGCTCTGGATTGAAGGATGGTCTCAACGACCTTAGTCGAGAGACCGGATTCTATGAGCTGGGCCCCCTCAGAGGCCAAGCCCACAGTTTCCACAACTCTGGGTGAGGGTGAAATATTGTGCCCCTTGCTTGGGACAGCAGGTCCCTCCTGACAGGAATCTCCATCGGAGAGCCGTCCAGAAGGGACACTAGGTCCGAGAACCATACTCGGGCCGGCCAGTGCGGGGCTACTAACAATAGATGAGCCCCTTCCTGGCGAACCTTCTCCAGAACTCCCGGGAGCATTGATACCGGGGGAAAAGCATACAGGTGTAGCCTTGGCCACACCTGCACCATCACGTCTAGTCCGAGAGGAGCTGGATAAGTGAGGGAGAACCACAGCGGACAATGGGTTGTATCTGATGATGCGAAAAGATCGACTTGAGCTTGACCATAATTCTCCCATAGGAGCTCCACCACCTCAGGGTGAAGTCTCCACTTCCCGGGCCTCAGCCCCTGCCTTGACAGGATATCTGCTCCCACATTCAGATGCCCTGGAATATATACTGCCCTGAGTGACAGTAATTTCCCCTGGGCCCATAGGAGGATCTGATGAGCCAGTTTGCATAATAATCGAGACCTCAGACCCCCCTGATGGTTGATGTAGGAGACCACCGATGTGTTGTCTGTGCGGACAAGCACATGGTGGCCTCTCAGATCTGGCAGGAAGTATTTGAGTGCATGAAATAACGCCATCATTTCTAGACGATTTATGTGCCAAGAAAGCTGATGGTCCTGCCAGAGACCTGTCGCCGAGCGGCCACTCATGATCGCCCCCCATCCTGTGAGGGAAGCATCCATCGATAGCGTTACGCGTCGACAATAAGCCCCCAACACTGGGCCCTGAGCAAGGAACCAAGGTTTCTTCCACATGACCAAGGCACGTAGGCATCGCCGTTCATGCGGAACGGATTTCCCCTCGGAGAAAACCCCTTGGTCCTGAGCCCACCACTGCAGGGGTCTAATGTACACAAGGCCAAAAGAAATTACGTTGGACGCAGCTGCCATGAGACCCAACAGTCTCTGAAACTGTTTCATAGTGAGTGACTGGCCTAGTTTTACCCTCTTTACGGCTGTGAGAATCGCAGAAATACATGCTGGAGACAATCATGCTTGCATCGTTGTCGAATCCCACACCACCCCTAGAAAAGTGGTCCTCTGAGCTGGGAGGAGCACACTCTTCTTGGCGTTGAGCCGCAACCCCAACCTCTTTATGTGAGACAGAACAACATCTCGATGTCGAACTGCCATATGCTCGGATTGAGCTAGGATCAACCAGTCGTCGATATAATTTAGTATGCGGATGCCCTGGAGTCTCAGAGGAGCCAGAGCTGCATCCACGCATTTGGTAAAGGTGCGGGGTGATAAACCTAGGCCGAACGGAAGAACCCGATACTGGCATGCTTGGCCCCCGAAAGCAAACCTCAGGAACTTCCTGTGATGAGGATGGATAGATACATGGAAGTAAGCGTCCTTCAAGTCTATTGTGACAAACCAGTCCTCGTACTGAATCTGTGATACAATCTGTTTGAGTGTAAGCATCTTGAACTTGAGTTTCTGAACTCTGCAGTTTAAATGACGCAGATCTAGAATAGGACGCAACCCCCCATCCTTTTTTGGAACGATGAAGTAATGGCTGTAAAACCTTGACTCTCTGCTGGGAGGAGACACCCTTTCTATAGCCCCTTTTTGCAGAAGCGTCAGTACTTCCTGCTCCATCACCAAAGCCTGTTCGGAGTCCACCCCTGTGGGAAGGACCCCCTGAAATCTGGGCGGACGAGAACCAAACTTAATTCTGTAGCCATTTTCTATTATATGCTGAACCCATTGAGAAAAATTTGGTAGTAGTTTCCACGCTGCCAGAAATTCTGTTAAGGGAACCAGTCTGTCGAGACTGGCCTCTGGATTCGGTTGAACAATCATTTCGGTGCCCTGAAGCGGCTAACCGGCAGGGAACAACCGAACTGATCGTTCTACGACCCTCCTCGGAGGATCGAATGAGGACAGTGATACCTCGGTGCCCTGAAACGGTGAACCGGCAGGGAACAACCGAAGTGGCAGCACTGCGACTCTCCTCGGAGAATCGCCCCACCATAGATGGCGCTCCGTGGCCTGGAGGGATATATCTGTTGTGCGACGCAATTCTCGAATTGCGTCAGCGCTAACTTCCTCTTGATCATCAATGTCCCTCAGCAGGTCAGCCTGATATGCTTGTAATATAGACATGGTGTGTAAACATGCTGCTGCCTGACCTGCTGCCGAATACGCTTTACCCACCAGCGTAGTAGCTTTTAGAGGCTTAGTGGGTAACGTCGGGGCTTTCAGTGATGACGCTGACTCAGGGGAGAGATAGCTCGCAAGCATCTCTTCCGCCCGAGGCATTGCCATATAACCAAGATCATTAATACCCTTAATTACTATAATTGGATGTCTGAGGGTTAAAAATTCTAAAGATACCAGTTTATTCCATGATCTCGACACCTCAGTGTGGAGATCGGGGAAAAACGGGAGTCCCCGATGAAGAGGCTGTGATCTAGATGGAAAATAACGATCTAGTAAACTCTTTTTAGTATCACTTTCACAATCATCGGCTGGCCAGTCAATATTTAATTTAGCTACAGCACAAGATAAAACCTCCATAAGTTCCTCATCACCAGAGGTATGAGCTGGCGAAGACTCATAATCCCCTGTATCAATACTAGCAGCATCCAATTCCTCAGAACTGGATAGCTGCAGCATTGGTGCCTCAACCTGGGGAGAAGAAACCGCAGCGCGGGCTTATCCCTGGGCAGAGGCACTGGATTCAGCAGGTAAAGGCAGAGAAAGGGGGAGGCCCGTCTCAAACCCCGCTGCTAGATCCATCTGCGAACCCCAAGATGCACGCCGCCGCTGGGACCCGCACCTCGGAGAGCGCGAACCAAACCGTCCTCCTCGAAGAACGCCCGTCGGGAGCGGAGCGTCCTCACGGACAGCCTCTCGCAATGCTCACAGTCAGCCCCCTCGAGAACTGACTGGGCATGCTCCACTCCCAAAAAAGCAATACAAAGCTGATGCGTGTCCCCACCCGTGATAAAACGAGGGCAGGGAACAGCACAACGCTTAAAATCTTGCTTGCTCGCCATAATGTAATATATTGTGTGTGTATTTTGTAACTTGACAGACAACAATAAATAGACAAGGACATTATACAGAGAGCGCTTGCTGAAGGCACAGAAGCTGTCGCGGTCTGTTTTCAGGGGTGCTTTATAGTTTCCTGGTCGATGACGTCACCTATGACGTCTCGTCATTCCATTGGACTGATTTCCATTGGACTGATTATACACGTGCTTCACGACGCAATCACGCAGGGCGTTCCCACCGCGTCTCAAACGCAGCTCGAGTTTCCTTGAAAGGGAACTTTACACAGTGTTAAATTTACACTACACGGGACCAAAGAAATCTCCCAGGAGGTCAAAAATGACTGGTATTTCTATCCTTGTGGGGACATTTGGTCCCCATAACGTAGGGAATACCAGGTACACACACACAATATGAATAGATCAATATCACAAATTATAGCAAAATCCACTTAAAGTAACAACAGGTAACTTTTCAACCTTCATAATATATTTCCAAGTCTCTTGTGATGGTACATCGACTTACAATAGGTTGAATGACACGTCTGCCATAGCCTGACGGGGTCTGTAGCGTTTTTAATCGTACTTTTAAACTTCGGGTTTCGGTTAGTAACCGGCGAACAAAGAGAACTACAAAATTCGACTGCTTTACGGCATATACGTCACTTCCACCACCACCCCCACTTCCTTAAAATCGGACTTGCGAGCCAAATGTTATAGTCATGGCCGAAGCAGCACAGAAAAACAAGAAAGCAAAGGTTTTATCGGAGCAAAGCAAAAAGAGAAAAAGAGAAAGTGATCGCGTTAAAGGCAGAACGAGGATCAACATTGCAGAGCTGCCAACTCTCACGCATTGGCCGTGAGACACCCGCATTTGATTGGTTTCACACGCTCACACGCCACACCCCCGGTTTCTCGCGCTAAATTGTCAACCCGGTCGGTCAAATGCCTGAAAGATGAGTTTATCTATAGATCTCTACCTGTTGAGCCACTCGTGATCGACAAGTTATACCGCAAATTAGTTCAAATCTCCCGGAATCTAGAGCGAGCGCGCACGCGAGACAGAGACTGTGCTCCAACGCGCGCGGACGGCAGAGAGAGAAAGCGAGCGAGAGACCTTGCGTGTGCAGGGAGCATCGAACCCTCCATCGAAAAAAGAATGCCTCTCTCTAACCTCTCTAATTCGCTAGAGTAGCAGCGAATTATCAATCTGGTAGCTAGAAAACGATATTCTAGTTTTTGATGGTTAGCTATCGCTAGTATTTTCGTTCTGATTTGAACTTTGCAATCGATGAAATGCAAATAGCAAATGTTTGACCTAAAAAGTGTAGTCTACTCAACATGTACAAAGAAAGGAGGAAGATTATTAATAAAATCATATTTTAGGATACCTAACATGTCTGTGATATTTGTTTATTTGTCTTGCCTCAAGCTATAATGCAAATCGATTTGTAAAATTTGCAGATTCATTTATGGTAGCTTGATATTATAATATTGACGATATATGGTTATTATCAACCACTCAAACATTGCATTGAAGTATCATATAGATTCAGTAAAACGGTAACCAATAGACTAGGCTACTATAATGACGCTGGCTTGTAAACGTGAGCATCACGATCATTTGTCGTTAGAAAAAAAATAAAACCCATGAAATTATATTCATATGACATGCTGAAATATATGCCACTGTACCTGGGATGAAGACATTTCACACGCGACGCAAGCAGAACACCTGCATGTGACCTCCTCCTACAGTGTTCAGGGCTATCATGGTTGTCAACAATTGCACGTGCATGTAGGATGACAGAGTTTACGACAGTAGTAGAGGACAATACTGTTTCCCAACTGTAGGGGGACCCCGAGAGCAAAAGTTATCTGTTGTTACTTTAAAGGTTACATTTACATTTAGTCATTTAGCAGACGCTTTTATCCAAAGGTTGAAAGACCACAGTCTTTAATTTAAGACACAAGATGATATAGATGAAACCTACTTTGAAGAAGATTATAAGTAGCCATATATGCCATTAAGTCCCCATAACGTAGGGAATACCAGGTACACACACACAATATTAACAGATCAATATCACACATTATAGCAAAATCCACTTAAAGGTTGAAAGACCACAATCTTTAATTTAAGACACAAGATGATATAGATGAAACCTACTTTGAAGAAGATTATAAGTAGCCATATATGCCATATTCACATCTAATCATTTTCTTTTCCTCTCACATGTTGTGTCTGACCCTCCTATTGCAGCTCCCTTAGGAAGCATCTCATCAATGGAGGTGAATGTCGATATGCTAGAACAGATGGATCTTATGGACATCTCTGATCAAGAGACCTTGGATGTCTTCTTCAGTGCCAGCGGAGAGGAAGGAGCACTGACATCTCCTCTTCCAGGTATAAACTTCACACCAGTCTAAATGGCCGTTCACACTGATTGTGGGTCGACAAGTTTCTGTATTGCTAGGTGATGCTTGACTGCAATATCCAACTGTATCAGGTGACATAGGCTCCACTGTGTGCATTCCTATTTGGTATTTGCATTAAGTAGAACTCTACTTCACTGCATTGCCATCAGTCTCTGTTGCTCATGACACCTGCAATTGACATCTTCTGGTTGCTTTGTTGCAGCAAATTGCCAGCAGTGTAATTGTTTTCTAACCAGGTGCAAAGTTCCCTGTAGTACACAAAGTAGTCTTTTTATATATCTACTGAAAGCTAAATAGCGCTCGAAGTGATAGTTACTACCAAAAAGATCATATTTTTTTCCCAATGTAATATGGAGTTAGCCTGGGTTTCCCCATACTACCTTGCCGCAGCGCGATTTTATTCACGCTGCTAGGTAGTCTGGATACCATGGACCAAATTTTCGCCTCATTTAGGGAACCAATCACAGAACGGGGAGGGAGCAGCAAGACGATGACGCGTCTATTCAACACACCGAAGCAGTTTGTTTAGACATGGATCCAACATGGCAGCAGACGCGAATGTTGATAGACAACATTCGGATATAAATGTTAAACTACAAAACAACCCAGAAAATGGCTCCAATCTATTAGTTTCAGTCATACTTTCGATGTGTTTACAAGACTGCAACTCCGCGGATAAAAAACAAAACAAGCAAATAAACCACACACTCGGGTTTGATTTGGGTTGTGCTAGCCTATAGCTGTCTGTGTGTTACATAAACTAAAAGAACGTTTATATATAATATTTTCTGGCTAGTTTACTTTAGTTTTTTTTTATATAATACACAACTTTCACCCAAACTGAATAACTAAAAACAAGTTTTTACCGGGTAGCCTAAATCTTCTATAAATATTTTTGAGTCTTTATTTTCTTTTATTTGCTAAAACTCACTAGACATGCTTATTCTGTGCATTTTGGGCACTTTTTGTGTGAAATCATATTTATTTTTGTCCATCAAAAGTGTGAGTTTTCACTTTAGTTGAGCGTGAGCAGAGTAGCAAAAACAGATTCAACGCCGAAATCCCCGCTTCACTGCTGCTCACGCGCCGCTCCTGCTCGACGCTCACGTGCTGTTCCTGCTCCCGGTGTGAATGCACGCATTGGTTAACATGTACGCCGAAAAAAATAAGCGCAGCTCATGCGGTGTGAAACGGCCGTTAGATACACGTCATCGTGTACACATAAATCTCTGACCCATCGTCTTCTTCCTCGTCTAATTTCTGTCGCTCTACATACGTCATCTGGTATAATTGAAACGATTGGCTATGAGCTACGTACAGGCGCATTTGATAGACATTCGTAGCACCCAATAAACGGCTCTGGGCATTCGTAAACCACACCTCAAATACGAGAAAATGAACATGTGGTTCCCGACCCAAGTCTCAAAATGAGACTTGGGTCTGACGTTAGCCAGGCTAATATGGAGTGGCATTGTGGACTAATATAATTTGCCAACCTATTCTCATGGGAAAACTTGACAATTTAAGGAGGTGGTGATTTCAAAATTAATTTGTATGATGTAATTCACATGGAAACATACAATTGTTAGACAATAAGCATAAAGGTCAACACCTACACAGCTTGTAAACCATAAGCAGATTGTATGAAAACGTACAAATGAATTAGTACAAATTTATCCGAATTAGCAACCAAATCCTCAAAACGTAAAATAGTTAGAAATTGCTGTGAGTGTGTGTTAGATATTGAACCCAGGTTGTGACACAACAAATATAGCAAACGTTTGATATATTCAGAGTAGCATGCCAGCAACAAAGCAACCTCATTTTCAATGAGAAATGTCAGATTTTAACTTTTTTTTTGTGTGTGTATTTGACTGTTTAAGTGCAATAAGCAGCGAAAAAAACGCACACTTTGGGTGTGAGCACAAAATCTGCGGTAATGAATAAAATTATGCACAATATGCGCAATGCAGTGAGCACTGAAGTATAGACAATGATTTGCCTCATACAGCTGCATACTGCAGTCGAGTTAAAACACCCACTAGCAAACATGATTTGTTTTTGTCAAACCAGTTAAGTGTGAACCCTGTCCCACAGACAATTTCATTGATCAATGCAATTACACAGGGTTTGTGCTATATTCAAAGTAGCATGCCAACAACAAAGCAACCTCATGTTCCATGAGAGTTGACGATTTTGGAAGCATACCTATCACAGGGTCTTATGTTCCCCAGATGTATATGACTCATAATGAACATAATATGTTCCTAGGTCCTGTTCCCCAGTTCAATGGTCTGTTAACACACATTAAGTAAACCTTTTAAAAGTTCAGGACTCATTTTCCCACAGCCCTAATAATAAACTTCTAACCCTAACATAAGGAAGCTATAACCTTTTGTGATTCCATCACTCCAACCATTTGTTTAGTATCCTCAACTCTAGGCCTATTATATTGAAAGCCATTTGGCAATGCTGTGAAACAGAAAATTGTATATTTCATTAACTGATTTAATGTTAATACATATAGGCAGGGCTGGGCATTCACTTTTTTTGCTCACCAGCCACTGTGGCTAGTCGTTTTCCAAAGTTACTAGCCACTTAGCCTTTACGCTGGCCACAATTCTGACATAGATACAATGGGGAAAAACTACCATATATATTTTTTTTTTATATATTTTCTCATAATTTGGTAACAAAGCAGGTATATTAGGCTGATGTCACCTGAAGACCTGACACATAGACCCATTATACTGTTTCACAGTTATTGTAAACAGTTAAGAAAGAACATGCATGTTTACTTGAATACTCGCCAAGACCTGGATTTTGACATTATTTTGTGTGTATTTGACTGTTTAAGTGCAAGAAGCAGCGAAAAAGAACACACACTTTGGGTGTGAGCACAAAATCTGCGGTAATCAGTCCCTCCAGAAAAATGTGATTATGCGATCGCATGATTTAGTGCATAATCAGCCAAAGTCCGCATATTTATGCGGGGGCCGCATTTTTTCAAATACGCCGCACTTTCGCTGCATAAATTGGCGATTTCCATGCAAAATATGCGAAGCTTGCATGATTTCATAATCCTCGCATTTTCGTTGCAAAAAAGTCACATATATCTTAGCAGAAAGTTGAAAAATGTTGCGTTTGCTTCACACAAGAGCAGCCATTTCCCCCTGTTGCCATGGGAACGTTATGAAGTGACGTAATTATGGGACGTGAACATCATCGAAAAGCTGTAAAACAGGAGCACACTTTATTTTTTATATTTTATTTATTCATTTTTACAGAAGTTGTAGCATATTCCTTTTGTGAAAACTACAGAACTTGTTTGACTCATCAATGTTTTGTAAGTTTGATGTTTTTATTAAGGTCTTAAATAAAACAAGATGAGAACTTAAATATTCCCAGCACTTTCTGTGATGTAGTAGGCTATGCCTATCATAGGAAGTAATAAGAAATGACTCTTTACATTAAGGTAGTAGCCTAGTGAGAACAGGGTGTTGGGGGAATCACTTTTTTTTTCCTCTTTTTCATCAAACCGCAGTTTTTGCAAGTTCCCGCAATTTCATCGCATAAAAATGCATAAATATCCCGGATATTCCATCGCATTTTTTAAGAAAACGGGCCGCATAATCAAGGATTTTTGCCCGCAACAATCACAAAAAAAATCATAAAACTCGCATAAAATTATGCACAATATGCGCAACCCCATGCAGAAATTGAAGCCCCGTTACACCAACAATATTCCTCCGGAGCAAATTAAACAAGTGAGTAAGGGGAGGCGGGTTTGTGTGTCAACTCGCTGTCGGAGAAATGAGAGAACAAGAAAGGGCAACTGGTATCGTGTATCTGTTCTAAGGGAAATGAGTATTGGAAGTGTTTCAGATATTTCAGTATCGAAAAATCTATATTTCTGACAACACTACATTTTGTTTATTATTTCAGATGCCTTTTTAAAAGACTACAACTGAAACATTTATATATATATATATATATATATATATACACTCACCGGCCACTTTATTAGGTACACCTGTCCAACTGCTCGTTAACACTTAATTTCTAAGCAGCCAATCACATGGCGGCAACTCAGTGCATTTAGGCATGTAGACATGGTCAAGACAATCTCCTGCAGTTCAAACCGAGCATCAGTATGGGGAAGAAAGGTGATTTGAGTGACTTTGAACGTGGCATGATTGTTGGTGCCAGAAGGGCTGGTCTGAGTATTTCAGAAACTGCTAATCTACTGGGATTTTCACGCACAACCATCTCTAGGGTTTACAGAGAATGGTCCGAAAAAGAAAAAACATCCAGTGAGCGGCAGTTCTGTGGGCGGAAATGCCTTGTTGATGCCAGAGGTCAGAGGAGAATGGCCAGACTGGTTCGAGCTGATAGAAGGGCAACAGTGACTGAAATAACCACTCGTTACAACCGAGGTATGCAGCAAAGCATTTGTGAAGCCACAACACGCACAACCTTGAGGCGGATGGGCTACAACAGCAGAAGACTCCACCGGGTACCACTCATCTCCACTACAAATAGGAAAAAGAGGCTACAATTTGCAAGAGCTCACCAAAATTGAACAGTTGAAGACTGGAAAAATGTTGCCTGGTCTGATGAGTCTCGATTTCTGTTGAGACATTCAGATGTTAGAGTCAGAATTTGGCGTAAACAGAATGAGAACATGGAACCATCATGCCTTGTTACCACTGTGCAGGCTGGTGGTGGTGGTGTAATGGTGTGGGGGATGTTTTCCTGGCACACTTTAGGCCCCTTAGTGCCAATTGGGCATCGTTTAAATGCCACGGCCTACCTGAGCATTGTTTCTGACCATGTCCATCCCTTTATGGCCACCATGTACCCATCCTCTGATGGCTACTTCCACCATGTCACAAAGCTCTAATCATTTCAAATTGGTTTCTTGAACATGACAATGAGTTCACTGTACTAAAATGGCCTCCACAGTCACCAGATCTCAACCCAATAGAGCATCTTTGGGATGTGGTGGAACGGGAGATTCGCATCATGGATGTGCAGCCGACAAATCTGCGGCAACTGTGTGATGCCATCATGTCAATATGGACCAAACTCCCTGAGGAATGCTTCCAGCACCTTGTTGAATCTATGCCACGAAGAATTGAGGCAGTTCTGAAGGCAAAAGGGGGTCCAACCCGTTACTAGCATGGGGTACCTAATAAAGTGGCCGGTGAGTGTATATATAAAATTCAACCCACCAAAATGGCTAGTAGGAATGATTGCGTTACACCCACATTTGGCAGGTTGACGTGTGTTGATGTCAGCCCTGTATATAGAAAATAGGAACCTTTTCATTTGTATTCCTTATTTACCATAAAACAACTGGGGGACACAGGGCCCTGGGAACATAGGACCCTTTTTCATGTGTTTATTATGTGCCATATAAATCTGGGGGACATACGAATGATCCTGACGATTTCTGGCAAAATTAGTGATAGAGACCAACAATGAAATAAGATCAACTATATGCAAAAAAAAAACAAAAAAAAAACAGTGATGTAATGCAGTGAGCACTTGACGTATAGACACTGATTTGCCTCATACAGCTGCATACTGCAGTCGAGTTGAAACACCCACTAGCAAACGTGATTTGTTTTTGTCAAACCAGTTAAGTGTGAACCCTGTCCCACAGAAATTGATCAATGCAATTACACAGGGTGGGTTGGGTAGGGTAGGGTAGGGTGGGGTGGGGGGGGGGGGGTGGGGTGGGGGGGCGGCAATTTAAACAATCCCAGCAATTTAAACACTGTCAGTGTGAACAGGGCTTAAGGCTTTCACAGAGACAGGTGTGATTTCTCAGAACACAGGTGGTAAGAACATTTTCTATGTGCTGTTAAATAAAGATCACTTACAGCACCAAAAATGAATGCTTTCTAGTAAAACCCTTTTATTGATAACCAAATAACAATGAAGTGTCAAAAGAAACAGTCACTCGTATGTTGAAGCCATGTGGCTCAGATCTGAGCAAAAATCTTGTAAAATTCCATTGAATTCCAGTTAACAAATTATAATTTTCTTCTCCAGCTCTTGGTCACACTGACATAAAAGAGGAAGGATTGCGGAGAAATGACGTGTCCTTGAGAATTTCTGACCCTTGTGAGATCAAAACACGTATGTTGTCAACTTCTTCAAACTCCACCTGTGACAGTCAGGCCTCCAATGAGGACGGATCAAACACTCCTGTCGTCCAATCAGATGATGAAGACATGCATGAAGATAGCCTGTTGCAAACAGGGGTGCCCACAGGCAACAATGAAGAGTCCCTGCCCTCTGACCTCTCATTATAACCTGCCTTGCCATTTATTACTGACGGTTTGGGAAAAGTTACATGTCTAGGTTGAGACTGTTTTAGGGTTGGGTTGAGTAGTTTTAGCCATAAATCAATCTACCGAAGACCTTCATGAACGTTGCGAAATGTAACACATACAAGGCTCATATTACGCCACACAGGGAGTGTCACACTTCGACAGACCTGTATTGTTGTATTGTCATTTGCGTCTTATCATTTAACTGTATCATTTGCTCTTTTGGGGGAAAAAATATCTGCAGGTTTATTGACACCACATACACACCACAAATATTTTGCAATTCATTTTTACAAAGATTGGTGCTGATCTGTAGTGACACTAAATGCAAACAGGGGTGCCCACAGCCAACAATGAGAGACTAAAACTGCTGAGGTGAGTCTCACACAAACATTTCACCTCAAATATTAAAAGAAAACAAAACATAGAGAAAATTAATCCTCTTATTTATACCATTAAAAGGTATGTTACATTTTTCATTTTTGGTTTCATAATTTCATAAGGAATCATTTCATAATTGTCATTTTTGGTAGAACTATCTGTATAAGGTTTTTTGTATCTTGGCATTATTTTACATTTAGCATTTGGTAGACACTTTTATCCAAAGTGTCTATAGCATTGAAGATATGCATTTTATCAGTTCATGCATTACCTGGGAATCAAACCATGATCTTGACGTTGTTAGCACCAAGGTCATGCTCTACTTTTTACCATTCTTTCCTCTTTTTTTGTGATTTGTGTTAATCTTAATGGTGATTCTCATCAATGCATTACTGTATTTTTTTGTTATTACAATAAAAATATTTTTATTTTTTATTTAAACCAACATAAAAGGCAATGCAACAAATACTAACATGGTGTTCAAATAACAGTATTAATACAGTATAATAAATTGTTAATGAGAATTTGTAAATGAGGAAATGCTTATTTGTTATGAAAATAATGTCACAGTGCAAAACATCTTAATAGGCATTAATTTTATTTTAATAGATTGCCTTTCTTTTTCAAGACAGTAAACAATAAGGTTGGGGCGAGAGGAGGGTGAATGGACCCATAACCACCCAAAATTTAACCTGGGTACTATGAACTCACAGTCATGTCATGCACAACCCATTATGTAACACGCACTGATAGACTTCATTTTCTTTAAGCAAAATATTATTATTGTTTTATTTCTTTTGATTGGGAGTGAAATATGATCCATTCTTGACAGTTTTTGTGAGACCTAAAACTGTTGGGTGTGTAGGTTAAGAATGTCTTGGTTAACTTTTTTTTTTTTTTTTTTTTTGATTATGTGCTGAGGATGTCTTCCTCTCTGATGTCCACAACACCTTATGCTTTGCTATCAAAATAAAGCCAAATGCCAGATAAAGAGTATTGGTATTTAATTATTTATTATTTAACTGTTTCTCATATTTCCAAATATGAGTGAAGAAACTGACTGAAAAATATGCAGGTCTGAGGTTAACCCCACTGTGATATCTTTAACGCAGCCAAGAGTATAATAATAATAATTGATTACATTTATATAGCGCTTTTCTGGCTACTCAAAGCGCTTTCCATATGGAAGGGGGAAACTCCTCAACCACCACCAATGTGCAGCATCCACCTGGATGATGCGACTGCAGCCACACTACACCAGAACGCCCACCACACACCAGCTTATTGGTGGAGAGGAGACAGAGTGATAGAGCCAATCAGTATATGTGGGGATGATATGGACGCACTTTCTCATGTCTTATTGTTATATTCTACCTTTTAGTCTATTAGTAAAGTAATCAAAATAGCTAAATAATACGGTTACAGTAAAGGTTTAAATGTTAAGGTAGGTCTAGTCATTTGTCCCACAATACTTATTGACTATTATCAGTTATGAAACTAAAGGCTATGTAGTAGCTTTCTAAACTGTAACCAGACAATTATATGTTTCAGGCCAAAGCCTTTAGATAAAAATGTTCTATCGATCATGAGTAACAAATTTAGTCAGTGGTGTCTAGAAGGATTTTTCATTATGACAATAATGTATGAAGACCATGAATGCATATTTTTTCAACATCCTAGTCTATAGTAGTGCTCAGACATTTGCCTGAATGTGTGGAATTAAGATTAACAAAAGCAAGAGAATGCCAAATATTTCCAAATAGTTTTAAAGTCATCTAAGACTGCTCACTTACCTGTAAGAATGGCAGGCTAGCTGGAGTACTAGTAAAGAGTGACAGCATGTTCCTGAACAGTCTGCTAATGTGACTGCTCTTTGTTGTCATGTCCAAACACATTGTCAAAGGAATGTACTGGGGTGTCAATCAAGCAAATGTTAATAAAAGAATCTGCAGTCCTCAGATCCGTCTACCCCTCGAAGGCTGCGGTTGAGAGCGCTTTCCCTGTGCCCAGTCTTTTTGTGGGGGAGCACGGGAAGCAATGCTCTGTTTATCATTAAGGACAGTACTCATCCTTTTCATTATCTGTTTGCACTACTCCCATCTGGAAGACGCTACAGAGCGCTAAAGTCTCGCACTTCCAGATTCCGAAACAGCTTTTATCCAACGGCCATTTTTGAACTGAATTCCCTCTACCCTGCCTCTATCCCCCCACAGCTGCTTCAATAATTTTGAACAGACGTGTATGCCATATTGTTGCAATATCATGCACAAGACACTTTCAAATTTGTATTATTTTTATTGTTTTAACATGGTATATGTTGGTATGTGTAATATGGATGAATACAGTTTGTTTTCTATGAGAGATGTCAAATTTCGTTGTATACCATGCAATGACAATAAAGGTAAAACGAACTACATTTTTGTGTGGCACGGTGTGAGGAGCTGGCTTTTGATGTTTGGGGCTGCTCCTACTCAGCAGCCCCGGAGACATGTGAGCGGCGGGAAAGGAGTTTCTGGAAAGCCTGTTTGGCTGACTCCTGAAACCTCTCAACAACCGAATTCACTGCGTTGCCGAAGAGGCCAGAAGGCGACAGAGATGCATCCATTAAAAAGTTTTTGTCTTACGGCTGCAGTCCGTAGCTTTTTTTGGGTTAAAAATGATCCAAAATACATATTTGAGAAAATACATAACCAGCCAGTGTTCAACACTATCTGCTTGCCGTAGCTCGATTCAAAGCGGTAAGCTTGTAATAAAGTTTTTAATTCCAGTGGTACTGGTGGATTTCCGCGGGAGATTCGAGCAGGTCTTTGCGTCATTACGTCACATCTGTGCACATAAAGAAGGAGTCTCGGCTAGTAGGCTATGTTGCGTGTGAGGATGTTGGAGGTGGAGATTTATAGCCTTTTCTCACTGCACTTGATATAATTAAACTTATCAATTTGATGGCGGATCCAGAAAGGTTCAAACGACAATCACCAGTGACAACTGGAGATTCACCCGTTGTAAAATGCAAAAGACTTCGTTCGGACTTCGGAGTGGCTACAGAAAGAAGAGACTGCAACCGGCCCATGCGAAAACAAAGATACATATCGGAAGGACATTACATGTAGTCACGCAATGCTTGCTTATATTGTTAACATTAACAATTTGAGAACAAAGTATCATTTGCATGGTTTTGCGTGATATGATAACTTATAAGCGATTGTTAGATTTAATCAGCGCGATTTACTGCAATGTCAGAACCAGAACAAAGGTGGATGTTTCTTACTAGTTTAGATGACATTTTCCAGTGAAAATTATTATGTTGGTCATACTTCCAAAAATAATAATCTGTGATTCTGAATGCCATTATCCACACCGGCGCGGTGACTGACAGCCTCACACTCTCCTCAAACATTGTGTTCATTCGCGCTGTGCCGTGTTGAAGGTGTTGAACTACAACTCACGTAGAGTTGATAATTCCACGAATGACTGCAATTGCAGATTTCGAACAGAGATGGCGACAAAGAGGAAAAACGCCGGACTGCAGCTTTAATATTGCTTAAGTTAAGCCAGAGATGTCTCTCAGTGGCCACCAGGGCTGCCATAGACCGGCCGATGGTTTTAGCTGTCTCCTTGACGGCCCTGAGAGACAAATCTGTGGCCCGACGCAGTTCGCAAACCGCGTTCGGGCCAATTCCCCCGCCCTCATCAAGATCTCCTAACAATTCAGCCTGATAGGCCTGCAGCAGCATCATAGTGTGGAGGCATGCTGCAGCCTGACCAGCAGCTGAATAAGCATTACCCACCAAAGCCGATGTTGTTCTGACTGGCTTGGTGGTTAATACCAGGGCCTTAAAGGGGTAGTTCGGAATTTTGGACATCGGGCCTCATTTACAAGTGAGCCTTAGTGTTATTTATCAGTAGAGACATTTAAAAAAAAAAATCATCCAGTCGTCCCAGTTGCGTAGTTGGCCGGTGCTAGGCTAGCGCGAATCAATGGTACCAGTTTTAGCCTGCCATTAAAACAGTTTTACCCACTCCACAGTACACTAAAAGCACATCAGTTATAACGCCAGACTATCGATGTAAATGTCTGTTGAGAGAATAATGTTAGAAATCAAACTACCCTTTCATCGCATTGCAATAGTTATACTTTGTTCCCTGTATTTATCAGCATAGTCTACAGCAGCGGCGAAGTGATATGTTACCTAGGCAACCGAGAGAGCCGGTCCACATGACAATCACGCAAGTGTATTTACCTGCCGCTGACACTCGTCATCACTACAGAAACAGAGTTTATTTCAAGAATAAAGCAACAAGACATATAATTATGGCCACGTTTGAAAGCCATGACAATGTTTCGGACTTTGAAGACGATGAAGATGAGGAATGTGTGTTATTCAACGAACCATACATGTATGAGCCGGAATACACAGATGAAGAACTAATCGAGATGGATGCTAAAAGGTCAGAAAGAGAAAAAAAATCTGTAGAGACAGCAGCCCCTGGAGATGCCGTAGAAAACCGGGACAGAACATCGGGAGACTGGTGGTGTCAATGCAGAAAATGAATACAAATGCCGACGGAAGATGAGTGTTTTTGCTGCAGGGAGTGGGACTTAGTTATCCCACAGATAACAGAACTGGAGCTAGACACTAGTTTACAAGATTTAGATGTGTCTGGGCACAGCGCCTCCCGAGACAGACCAATGTGCATAACGGAGCACCCGGACTTTCCACCCCTTCTAACTCGCGGAGTACTCGAAACATTCTTCTCCTTCGATAAAATAAATTTAGAAAAAAAGACCCGGACCTGCTGGACTCAACGGACAGTTGTCAATGTTGTAAGTGTAAGCTGTCCATTCCAAAAAAAATTTAATTAATTGTTGCCTAGTTCTTATTTATGTATTTTTTGTTATGTGTATATAGCGCCTCAAAACTGTTTCTATTTTGATTAGATTTATTTTGGCCATTATTTTTATGTGGGCTTGTGTACATGATTGGTCTTTGGTAAGAAAGTTGACTGCTCCAAAAAGCTAATTTTTTACCCTTTTTTTTAAGCAGTACCGATTGGTGGCTTACAGAATTGTTCTAGAGTGGGTGTTGAAAGGAAGACAGCTGGGAAGAGGCTACCGACATGTTCTTCCATCCTGTGTAGTGACCAGCATCCGAAATAAATACCCTTCAGACACCGGGCGATATGTTGGATTTAGGGAAGCACAAGATGCTCTGCGATTGTTCTGAACACATAACTACAGTAGGCAGCTAGAAAACATTTGCTACTGCACCTCATCTTTTCAATAAATCAAATCCTTTATATCAAAAAGAAATAACACATACATACACATACATGTGGTTACAGATGAAACAATATGATTTTGATGTTACTTTCTTTAATTTTACTTTGAAATATAAACAATTACAACCTAAGAGTGGATTTAGACAAATTGTTGTAATGTTGACAGTAATTAAATTACAATAAAATCAATGGTTCAATAAAAAGAAGTGTAATGATGACCTTGTGTTTTTACAAATGCTGGCACAGTATTTTGCACCACAATAGGGTACAGTTATGCTTTTATTTGCTGCTTGTATTTGAAAATCGGGAGACATGCTGTGATATAATTTCATATTTGTCCGGTCTTGGAGTGTCGGCTTTGTTTTTGTATATTGTGTCTGGTTGCTGGATATAAGAAGTAGGATCTGCAAACTTTACAGTAGGATCCTGGCGCCTTTGCAGGACCCGTTCCACAAGATCCTTCCTGAATGTCTGCCAGGTTGTCTCGTATCTCTTCCTGGCAAACCATCTTTTTGTTTGTTTCGGAAAGACCAAATCATATCTTGGAGTTCCCAGAGGTAGTAATGCACAGTCAGCAATATAAACATACCAAGGATTGGCTAGTAAATTTACAATGCACTTGGTACATAATCAAGTACTGATGACTTAGAGTTTTGCAGTTATGTATTATGTGTAGACTTACCATCAGTGGTTTTTGCTTGCTGACGGCCAACATTCTCGTTGTGGTCCATCACAGAGAGTAGGGTACGTGCCTTCATAGAGTTGTAGCTGAAGTGTAGCCTCTTCTGAGTGTACTTCAGCATTGCACTGTGGTAAACTTCCAGGTCTCCTGCAGTTTTTATCAGATGGTTAGTACCTTGTGAATGTAATTCAAAATGTTGATATTTAGAAAATTTGTAAAAAGACGTTAGACATTTATTTTATGCCTTCATTGTTTGTAGAAACTTTCAATGGGAGCTGTGCAATTCTCTAAAGAACGGATATCAGCATGTTGTTTTAGGTAAAGCACTAAAAATAATTTTTAATTAAAAAAAATTTCACATTTTTTCATTTACACACATCAAATGTGTGTAAATGATCATCTACATGGTAGCAGCATACATACAGTACCTGTATGTTTGAAGAGAGTCATGTGTTTGAGGTCTTTCAACAGGTTCTTGTTGAGTGCGTGGTCTGACAGTGCCTTGAATGCAGCAGAGTCTGTTTGCAGCCATTCCTTTTTTCTCTGCTGATCTTCAGTGAGTTCTTGGTGGTAGCAAGTCCTCTCCTGTCCATCTTCCTCCCACCGATGGATGCCACAAATGTGATGCAGAATTGACGTCCAGCGACGTTTCAACTCCTACCAAAGCATATGCGTTTTAGGGCAACACAACAAATAATGCTTTTTGCTTAGTACAGAAAAAAATAAATACATCTCATCAACTTACCTCAGCATCACCACCACATGACTGACAACACCACCAAAAGTGATTATTAATTGCCTTGATCCAAGGAAGCAGATCATTGTTTTTCTTATTTTTAGCAGCCGCAGTCAACTTCTTCTTCAGTCCTAATTAATAAAATCACAATGAGGGAAGGGTTGAGAGAGGAGGGGGTTGGGGATGTTTCAAAATAGTCTGATTGCAATTAGTAGAAAGCTTACCTTTGGCAACATGTCATGGGTCAAACTGATGCTGGATGTCACAGTAGGTCTCTCTCATAAGCTTCCTGATAGAAGGAGAGCGGTCTGTGGTGATGGTATCTACTACAACTCCTGCCTGAAGCGAACGCTCCAGACACCTCCGAAATCCCAATATCTCCATGGCTGGTGAACTGGTTGCCTCTGTTACCTTTATAATGACAATCAGTATAAATGCTTACACATGCACTGAGACTACAAGCAGTATATACATTGCTGGGTTTTTACCTGAACTAACTCAACCATGATGATTTCCTTTGTTTCATCACTCATGAAACTGTATGTAGTGTACTTGGCACTAAATCCAGGTGAATCAGAACGACCATCACCGCAGATTGAAATCCCACCACCAATTGTCTGTAGTTTTCTCATTATCTCTTTGTGATGGTCTTTGTATGCATACTCAATCACTGGTATGAGGTAAGTAGACTGCAGGAAGTAAAATGTTGTCTTCTTTGGAATTTGGAGATTCAGTAGCTCAGCCCAATCAAAGATTTCTGTATAAGTTGAACCTGTGAACAGGATGGATGAGGCAAACAGCAGGTTGTTTTCTGGCATTCCACGCAGAGGACATGACTCCCATTCCCCTGTGTGTCCATTTAAACAGCTCCACTTGATGTGTATACGTGTCCCAGCAGTGGTCACTTTCTTGTATTCCTCTTCAATTAAAATACCACACTGGTGGCATGTTGTGAAGAGCTGCATTAGCTTGGACTCGTTGACAATCCATTTATTTTCTGACCAGTTCTTGGCTCCTTCTGCCGAGGATATGTCAGACTTGGAGGAGCTAGAGGTGCTGCTCAGTGGAACAAAGGAGCAGTCAACTGGGTGACTTGATGGGGCTTCAACTGATATCATACTTAGGTCCAGTGGGTTGTCATCTTCAGCTGTAGCTTTCTTTTCCTTTATAAACAACAAAATAAAAAAATAAAAAAATTTAAAGTCGGTGAGCCTGAAAGAAGAGAGACTGTATTGAAAGTAGGTGAACGTCATTTCACCAAGTACCACATGTTCCTGGATCAACACCGTTGTTGATCCTGGATCAACTTTCCAATCAACCAATCAGATTTGAGGGACAAGTTTACCGTTTATGTCAAGTTAAGGCTTAGAACCAGGGTGTAGTACTTACACATCAGTGTCATTCACCTTTCATTACCCTATGATTTTAGGGAAAAGTTATGGGTAGGGTTAGGTTTAGGGGTAGGGATTGGGTAAGGACTACATTTTGGGACAGGAATGTTGATCCAGGATCAACAAAATATGTTGATCCAGGACCATGTCTTACTTGGCAAAATCACAGTGACCATTGAAAGTAACTGTGATCCTGATTTTTAATTTGAACACTATCCAGAATAGTAATTTTTAAATATTATTGAAAGATACTGCAACGTAATTTTATAAAAGCGTATAATTCTTGTCATCAGTGTAAACAAAGTATGTAAAGCTATGCAATGGAAGTCATACATGTCATACAACTATTAGTATTTATTTGAGTTCACTCTCTTACTTGTACTAATGCTGAACTATTGTTTCTTCTATACAACATACATGAACGTCATTATAATACAATTGTTGGCAAAGATTACAATATGACTGAAACACTTCTAAAAATTCTATAAATCAATCAAATACCTCACTTTGGCTCAAATGTCTGAGAGGACGGAAGGCAAAATAGAACCCTGATGAAGAACGCCGTTTCCGAGACCGTGGCGCTGCCTGTTTTGGAGTGCTGATGAAAAACTTCAGTGCACCAGAACACTGAGTTGACTCCTTGTGTGATTCTGGTCCAGAGGAGTCCTTTTTAGGGGTGGACTGTGGTACAGTGAACATCTCCTGTATTTTCTTTGCAGATAACAACAACAATAACATATATTTAAATATAATGTATTGCTACACATTACATAAAGACAAATAAACAACTTTAGTGGATTGTAAAGACAATAGCCCTACAATGTTTGACAGACTGTTGGACCAATTCATAAAATAACTAACGTTATACCGTTAGTTACACTATAGTGTCACTCTCCACAATGCATTGAACTGTAACGTTATCTCCACAAACGTTGTCAGTGTCGATCTATCAGTTATGAAAGACTAGCTTCATTAGCTAGAGGTTAGAGTAGCCTAACAAAAGTTATTACCTGTTCATCTGTAGCTGTTGGTGCATCGGGAAAGACGGCTGGAACTGCATTCAAACTCAGTGACATTTTATCGTTTCGATCACTTTGTACAAAGTTGTCTGATCTAAAATGATCGCTACAAATTCGGGCCTTTAGTAGTGTCTCTGTCGGTGTCTCCTTATCCAAGCCAGCAGCAAGAAGCCACAGTTGGTTCCTTTCTGGATCTCTTACTGGAAATCTGTGGAAACTTTTTGTTGACCATCTTTGTTTTTTTTTTTGTACAATTTTTAAAAATACAGTGAATAACCATTTTGTCAATTCTTTCAACTCTGATCGAATGTTTCAAAATCGAGGCTACTACTAGCTAACTTGGCGTTCCGACTGTACCGTAGTGCGATTCTGTTGTGTTTACTTTCCGGCACAGTACTACTCCCGGAGCAAAGTAAAATTCCGCCGCTGCTGAGAAACTAGTTCCTGTAAATGTAATGCGATCATTGAAATATATTTTGATATGTCAAACTACATTGAGTAGTTTGATTTCTAACATTATTCTATCAACAGACATTTACATCGATAGTCTGGCGTTATAACTGATGTGCTTTTAGTGTACTGTGGAGTGGGTAAAACTGTTTTAATGGCAGGCTAAAACTGGTACCATTGATTCGCGCTAGCCTAGCACCGGCCAACTACGCAACTGGGACGACTGGATGATTTTTTAAAAAAAATGTCTCTACTGATAAATAACACTAAGGCTCACTTGTAAATGAGGCCCGATGTCCAAAATTCCGAACCACCCCTTTAAGGGAAGATGCTGATTCAGGGGAGAGATAACCATCTTTGGCATCTCCCCATAGCCGTGCTATTTATAGTTTGTGATAGAGGAATAGTGTGAAACGGGTTTATCCCACGATCTCGACACCTCGGTGTGGAGATCGAGGAAAAACGGAAGGCCCTGACGTTAAGTTTGTGAACGAGAGGGCAGGAAGCGTTCGTCTAGTTTGCTTCTTGAACGAACTTCCTGCTTATCTGCCGTCCAATCGATGCTTAATCTTTCGACCGCTCTCGTTACAACCTCAACAAGCTCCTCAAAAGCATGAGACTGAGGTGGCGAGTCCTCGGTATCTCCTGCTTCGAAACTAACATTTAGTTCCTCAGAACTAGATAGCTGCAGTGTCGGTCCTAGGGCTGTCACTTTTTATTCGATATTCGAATGTGCATTCGAACATGACGTGAAATATCCGTAATCGAACTATAAATAAACGATCCGTTTTTTAAAGTGCCAAGGGTAGCGCATTTTTTTACAGTCTATGATTAGACTGTTTGTTTTTTATTTTATTGTTTGTCATCAGTAGCGGGCGCTCTAAACGTATTGTAGCGTAGGCCCATGACCAAATCAAGCGAATAATAGCCAATAGCCACCCTGTTTTGAAAATAGAAGATAACTCACAGAACGGCCAGCCTGAGCGGACAATTACGACCCCAAGTCATCTAAAAAGTAGTGTCTGGAAATATTTTGGGTTCTACACGATAGATGGTAAAGTTAAAGATACGGTAGTTTGCCGAATTTGCAAAAAACGGTTTACTTGCGCATCCTTGACATCCAATCTTCACGCTCACCTGTCGAGTTATCATCCAAATGAGGCAGCGGAGTCAGAGGCTGCATTTACACTGCAGGTCTTGATGCCCAAATCCGATTTTCTGACTATATCCGATTTTTTTGACGACTGCTTACATCATCTTTTAAAAGTGACCCGTATCCGATTTTTGCATTTACACTATACACTGCTGAAACTACCAAATGTAGACGTTCTTACCCGGAAAAGGAAGTAAAACAGCACGAAATGCAATGGATGCAGATGCGAATAAAATTATCCAGTGTTTTGCTTTCCACAATATTTTGAAAAGTCAGCAAAACATTGGTCTCGTACGGCGGAGAAAAAAGAGGAGAGCCCTTGTTGGCACTGTAGCCAGGAGCGCTTACAACCGTGCCTCCCCATATCTCGTGAAATGTCTTCAAACATGGATTTATTTCTGTAACAACCCTGCATTTTTGCCTGCACTGTCTCTTCGCCCCAAACACTCAAAAGACATGAAACCTCCGCATTGCTCCACTGTGTGTATCCTTCGTCCTCCATCGCGCCTATACTAAGTCATGTGATCTCAGTTGGTGGTGTCCACCTGAGTTGACGTAACTTTTTTAATGACGTACGACTTGCATTTACTGGGGAATATCCGATTACATGGCACACGCAAATGCAGGTATCCGAATCATATCCGATTTATTACCACATTTGAGTGAGGCCTGAATCCGATCTGAGAAAATCGGAATCCATGCGTTTTTTTCCTGCTTACACGTTCACCGGTCATATGATCTGTGCCACATGAGAGGAAAAAATCGGATTTTGGTCACTTGAACCATGCAGTGTAAATGGGGCCAGAGACTTAGCAGACGGCCAAGTCCGAACGTGTGTTCTCCACCGCGGGGAACATCGTCAATTAAAAAAAGAGAGCCACACTTGATCCAGATCAAGTTGATAGATTGGTGTTTCTAGCAAACAATATTAAGAAATGAATTAGGCAGGCCTTAATCCTGCTGCTGTTTAAGTTGTCACATTATTGTTTGTGCCGTGCTGTTCCGATTCAGTTTTTTTCCATGGAGGGGCTCGTAGATATTTGAATATATTCAAAAACATTGCTTGATATTTGATATCTGTTCGAATTAGATTTTTCTCAAAAGTGACAGGCCTAGTCGGTACCTCAATCAGGGCGGAAGTAACCACAGTGCGTGCTTCCAAACCCTGAGAGAAGGCACTGGATCTGTCAGGTGGAGGCAGAGAAGGCTGGGCTCAAATCTCTAACCCCGCTGACAAATCCATTTGCGAACCCCAAGTCTGAAGTCGCCACTGTGCCTCGGCAGCAGTGGGACCCGAGCCTTGGGGAACGCGAGCCTGAGCGTCCTCGCAAAAGAACGCCAGGAGTTACACTCACGGGACGGGACACTGCAGTTCATAAAAGTCCATTATTTGCCTGTGCATTAAAGCTTTGCCGGTTAAACATTTCATTCGCGTGCTGTTGCGTGGTTCTAACTAACATCAGACATCCCAAGTCTCCCGGAACTTCCGGGAGTCTCCCGCATATTGATAGCGTCTCCCTGATGCCCACAAATTAGTTCAAATCTCCCAGAATCTAGAGCGATATATAACGTACTCGGTTACTAACGTAACCTCGGTTCTCTCTAGAGAGGGAACGAGTACTGCGTAATAGCTTACGCTAGGGGAAAAACTCTTTTCCACGAGATATTGAAGCCAAAAATTATCCTTAATTTTTTATTAATGTAAAACGCTTTGCAGCAGCAAGCAGACATAGGCGAAACAGCTCGCGCGCCTATTGGTTGCTCTGCAGCAAATGCAGCAGCCTATCGAGAGAGA